TTTTTTTTTTCCGTGTTGGTAGTCATGAAACAAATTCACTAAGGACTCAACAGAAACCAAAGTTTGTTCAGGATTCAGTTTTTTCCGTTCCTGCTCAATGACTTCAGCTAGTTGTTCAACAGATTTCAAAATCTATTCAAAAAGGTTGCTTTTCAACTTTCAAATGTATTTACTGTAACACCGTTTTGATAAGTTTATGCCGCTCTGTATTGTTTCACTTCAAAATTTTGTTTTTCTTCACTGAAATTACACCATTATAACAGCTTCATGTGGTAAGGAGAGAAAATGAAATAGGAAACAATTCTTTTAAGTACTGCCACTGATGTTAATTGCAGCTTTGTGTTAAATACCAACATTTTTGGCAACCATTTTTATACCTTTTAATCTTATATGAAAAATTTTCGAGTGGACCCTACGGATAAGTTTTTTCTTTTACAATTTAATAGCATAACTCACTGCAAATCAGCTTTTGTTTCGTTTCATCTGTTACTGTTTGTTACTGTTTTTATTCTGGACAAATAGTAAGTGATGAACGAAGTATTATGATTTTATAATAAATTATAAGGTTTTTGTGGAAAGTAGAATTTAAATTTTATTGTAACTTTAATGTACCGGGTTTTCAATGTTTCTCTGTTGCAAGAAATCGGCTTTGAAATTCTTATATTTTTAAAAGTGGTTTATGCAAAATTAAGTTTCCGACAAATTATTAAACTTTAATACATTAGCATGCTTCAGCATCAAAAAATTCACTATTCTTCCTTGCTTATTTCTGTTCAATTTTGTCCTTTGCGGTCATTGACGAACGTTTGTTGCACAAACCGATCAAGTGACAGGGTCGACGAAAACCATTAGGAATTTTCCGTTAGTGTCCGTGTTGGTAGTCATAAAACAAATTTACTAAGGACTCAAAAGAAACCAAAGTTTGTTCAGGATTCAGTTTGTTTCGTTCCTGCTCAATGACTTCAGCTAGTTGTTCAACAGATTTCAAAATCTATTCAAAAAGGTTGCTTTTCAACTTTCAAATGTATTTACTGTAACACCGTTTTGATAAGTTTATGCCGCTCTGTATTGTTTCACTTCAAAATTTTGTTTTTCTTCACTGAAATTACACCATTATAACAGCTTCATGTGGTAAGGAGAGAAAATGAAATAGGAAACAATTCTTTTAAGTACTGCCACTGATGTTAATTGCAGCTTTGTGTTAAATACCAACATTTTTTGCAACCATTTTTATACCTTTTAATCTTATCTAAAAAATTTTCGAATGGACGCTACGGATAAGTTTTTTTCTTTTACAGTTTAATAGCAAAACTCACTGCAAATCAGCTTTTGTTTCGTTTCATCTGTTACTGTTTGTTACTGTTTTTATTCTGGACAAATAGTAAGTGATGAACGAAGTATTATGCTTTTATAATAAATTAAGTATTGTTTATTATAATTTCCAAGTAAACAGTTAACACATTTTATGACACTCTGATGGAACAAAACGTAAAATTTTCGTTAACAAGCATCAGATGCGCGGTCATCAGATGTATCATTATATTTCCAAAAGCCATCAACTAGTTGCAGTCAATCAATGTAGTGAAATAGCTTAATTAGAGATGGCATTAGTATTTCTGTTGCCAGTTATGTATCATTTTTGCTTCTTTTTTACCCTATTGTATTTTTCTTGTTACTGTTTCAAAAACTTTCTTAATTCATTTGGGTAACAAGTTTTGGGGCCAGCTCAAAGTTAGTCGATTGTTGCAAAAAGGAAAAAAGTAACAGCAATGAAATGAAATAATGAAAAGAAATGAAGGGGAAAGAGCGGAAGAAAGAAGAGAAGAATAAAGGACATTGACTTTTGAGTTTTAAACAGTGTTGAATGAAGTTATTGAATAATTTGATGTTAAAATTGTCTTTATTAAATTCTTTTTTTGTTTCTGCACCGAACACCTTTTTTTTGATATTTTATTTAATTGGACAATATAAACATCAAAGTTGATTATAGAATAAAATAAAAGAATATGAAAATTTATGAACATTTACTTTTTCGTTCAGTTCAATTATGATCGATGTTCAGTAAACCATCGTTTTTTTTTTTTGTTCAAATTTAGTGCGAAAAAACAAAAGTTATAAAAGAACAAAAAATTCGGCAAGTAAACTTAAAACCTCCTTATTTTTTCTTAAAAAATAATGACGCAGTTCACAATCGGTCTTAACGCGTCGGTAATCGACCGGGTACCGGGTGAGTTTCACCGTCGACACCAAACACTTGTGAATTTCGTTGGTTCACCGCGACTTCCAGAGTCTTTACTGATAGCGGCAGTTGCGCTTCAATTATCGTGTAGTCGTTGTTGCTGCTACTGCTACTGTCCCTTCTGCTACTGCATCAATTCAGAAGTTTTTTGGGTTTTACACCATTAACTAACTGGTTACCTTGACCTCATCAACTTGCCAAATCATTGTCAATTAACCTTTACCGCTATTCAACAGTTTCAAGTAAATCTGAATTAATTAACTTTAAATTTCTGATACAGTGATTATTGGGCAG